AGGAACTCTGGAAATATGAAAACTCAAATGGAAAGCACACCACCAAAGAGGAACACCAGCCACTTAGAAATGGACACCAACCAAAATCAGACCACTAAAATGACAAAAGAAGAATTATGAGCATGGATCATAAGAAAATTCAATGAGTTGCAAGAAAAACTGCATAATCAACACAAAAAAAGGGCAAAAAGACTCCAGGACCTGGAACAAAAATTCACTAAAGAAATTGATACGATGAAGAAAAGTCTAACAGAACTCCTGGAAATGAAGAATCAATTCAGGGACCTACAAAACACAACAGGGTAGATCAAACAGAAGAAAGAATGTCAGATATTGAAGATAACATCCTCCAATTAAATAAATCAGTCACAGAGATAGACCAGAGAAACAAGAAAAAAGAGCAAAGCCTACAACAGACGTGGGATTATGTGAAGAAACGTAATGTGAGGGTTATAGGGTTACCCAAAGGGGAAGAAGAAAACAATCAGGGTTGGATAAATTTTTGAAGATATAATAGAGGAAAATTTCCCAGGCCTTGCTAAAAATCTCGATATACAAGTTCAAGAAGCTCAGAGGACTCCTGGGAGATTCAATGCCAAGAAAGCATCACTGACATGCATCATGATTGACAAAATATCAACTAAAAGGCCTCTATGAGCTCTACAGCAAAAGAAGGCAAGTTAATACAAAGGAAGCCAATCAATATATCACAAACTTCTCTACTGAACTTACAAGCAAGGAGGACTGGGGCCACATTCTCGATCTTACTGAAACAGATAATGGCCAGCCTAAGTCATTATCCCGGCAAACTAAGTTTGCTATAAGGAGGAGAAACCAAGACATTCTCAGATATGCAAAGACTGAGGAGTTCACCAAGCCAGAGACAGGTCTTCAAGAAGTACTCAAAACAGGTATTACAACGGATAGCACAAAAACACTCAAATGTAAATACTACTAATTAGGATTAAAGCCAGAGAACCACAATGGCTCAAGACAGAAAAACAAAAGCAACAAGTTCAACCAAATAATGACAGAAATCTGCCCACTATCAGTTATTCAAGTAAATGTGAATCTGGAAACTCCCCCTCTCAGACAATAGGGCGGTGAATGGTAAATAAAACCAAGCCAGTGTCTGCTGCCTTCAGAAAAACATCTAACCTGCAAAAGATGCATTATAGAAAAGGAAGGAGGTGGAGAACATATTTCAGCAAACGGAAGCCAAAAGAAAGCTGGGTTGGCGGTGCTGATTACAGATACTTAGTTTTTAAATCAATAAGTAAATAAAAGACAAAGACGGTCACTATATAATGGGGTGAAGGTACAGTCAACAGAAGACTAACAATTCTAAAAAATATATGCCCGCACCATTGCCTCCACCAGACTTCATGAGGCAAATCTAACTTGATCTAAAAACAAATGGATAACAACAACACCATATAGTGCGGAGACTTTTACATGCCACTGACAGCACAGGACAGACCCTCCAACAAAAAAACAACCAAAGGAACAATGATTAAGCAGAACTCTGAAAATGGGCCTGACTGACAACATTTACAGGACATTCTACCCAACATTAAAATATACGTTCTTCTCATCATGCTCATGGGTCATTCTCTAAGAATGACATGTCCGTAAACAAAGCCTGTCTCAACAATTTAAAAAATAAGAATTTTACCTGTATCTTATTTCAGAATAACAATAGAAAAGTAGAACCAACCCCTAACATCTTTTTCTAACAAATCATGGAAACAATAACTTTTGCTGGATGACCACTTCATACGAGAAAATCAAGATGGAAATCAAAACATTCTTTGAAATACATGACAAAGGAGGACACAACTTTATCAAAATCTGTGGAAAAGCTACAATCACTCCTGAGGGAGAAGTTTATTTTCCATAAATGGCCTATATCCAAAACTCTGAAAATCACTAAGACAACTATGAATCATCACCAGAGCTAGAAAAAGGAATGAACAGACAACCCAACAGCAAAGCACCTGAAACATTAAGTCAAATCAGAACTAAAAAATTTACACAGGGAAACCAAACAGAGATTAACAAAACAACAAAAGACGGTTCTAAAAATGAGTACCTTTGGTAGACTAACAAAAGAGCAGAAGAAGAAATTCTGTAACAGCATCATCAGGAATATTAAGGAGAAAACGGATGCCAAGAATCAATTATATTCATGATACTAAAACCTTTGCACACAAACTGGAAAATGTGGAGGAAAGCACATTCTTAGAAACACACGCCTCCTAGGCTCAATAAGGAAAGATATGAATTCCTGACAGACCAATATCAAGTACTGGAATTGAAACAGAAAAAAAACCTTCCTAAAGAAAAAAGTCCTAGACAATGGTTTCCACCGAATTTTACCCACACCTACAAAGAGAACTGGTGCCTATCCTGCAGAAATATTCCAACATCCGAGAAGGATGGAATAATTCCCAACACATTTTATGAAGCAAACATTACTGTTATACAAACCAGGAAAGGATGCAACAATAAAGAAAGTACAGACCAATAATCCCTTATGAATATAGATGCAAAAATTCTCAACAAAATCTAGCCAATCGAAATCAGGGCTTGTCAAGAAATAATCCATCCCAATCAAGTGGCTTATCCAGGCGGCAGGGATGATTCAACATACACAATCTATAAAGGTAATTCACATATAAACAGAAGCAAAAACAAAGACATTATGATACTTCAATAGAGCAGGAAAAAGCACTTCAACAAGATTTAACACGCTTTATGATAGAACACTCAACAAAATACCGCAACAGACGGGGCTTAACTAAAATGATGAGCCATATATGTATGACAAATCACAGCCAATATCACACTGAATGGGGAAAAATTGAAAGCATTCCCACTTAAAACTGGAACAAGACAAGGTTACCCACTGTCTCTACTTCTATTCAATATAGTGCTGGAAGTCCTTGCTACAGCAATGAGACACGAGAGCGGAATTAAGGGTGTCCAAATGGGAGCAGAAGAGATCAAACTGTCACTCTTTTGCTGATGACATGATTATAACTAGAAACCAAGGATGAACCAAGAGACTCTTGAATTGATAAATGGAATTTGGTAAGTCTGAGGATACAAATCAATACACAGAACATCAGAGGGATTCATATCACCAACACACAGTAAAGTGAGAACCAAATCAAAGACTCAATTCCTCAAATAACAACAAAGAAAATAAAGTATCTTGGAATATATTTAACTAAGGAGTAAGAAACCTCTACAGGGAGAACTATGAAACACTGAAGAAGGAAATAGCAGAGGATGTAAACAGATGAAGAAATACCTGCTAATGGGTTGGCAGAAATCCATTGTTAATGTTTATATACCAAAGTGACCTACAGAGTCAATGCAATCCCTATCAAATATATCATCATATTTTTCACAGATATAAAAAAATATTTTTACATTTCGTATGGACCAGACAAGACCCTTATAGCAAAATCAATCCTAGGCAATAAAAACAAAAATAGGAGGTATCAATTTACAGACTTACTATATACAAGGCTATAGCATTCAACAGCTGTGGATTGGCACAAGATCAGGACATTGACCAGTGGACGACGAACCAAACCGATATAAAACATCTCAGACAGACAATAATTTCGACAAAGTAGAGAAAAACATACACTGGGGAAAATCCATATTCAACAAAATTGTGCTGGGAAAACTGGATGCCACATGTAGAAGACTGAAACAAGACCACACCTTTCACCATCACAAAAATCACTCACGCTGGGTAACAGACTTGAAACCTTGGGTGTGAACTATTAGAATTCGAGAGGAAAATGTTGGAATACCTTCTAGACACTTGGCCTGGCCAAGAATTCAGAAGAAGACACCAAAGGCAATCACAGAAGCAACAAAAATAAACAAATGGCACCTGATCAAACTAAAAACCTTCTGCACAGCCAAAGAAACTGTCAGGAGAGCAAACAGACAACCCACAGAATGGGAGAATATTTTCGCAAGCTACACATCTGATAAAGGGCTGATAACTAGAATATATTTAGAACTCAGGAAAATCAGCAAAAAACAAATCAACCCCATCAAAAAAACAGGCAAAGGACACGAACAGAAACTTTTCCAAAGAAGACAGAATAATGGCCAACAAACATATGAAAAATGCTCAACATCTCTAATCATCAGGGAATGCAAATCAAAACCACAATGAGATATCACTTAACTCCAGTGGAATGGCCTTTATCAAAAGTCTCAAACAATTAAATGCTGGCGTGGATGTGGAGAGAGGAACACTCCTACACTGCTGGTGGGACTGCAAACTAGTTCAACCTCTGTGGAAAGCAATATGGAGATACCTCAAGGCGATACAAGTGGATCTACCATTTGATCCATCCCACTACTGGCCATCTACCCAAAAGATCAAAAGTCACTTTATAAAAAGACACCTGCACTCAAATGTTTATAGCAGCACGATTCACAATTGCAAAGCTGTGGAAACAACCCAAGCGCCCATCAATTGTAATAAATTAAATACACTTACTATAACTACTAAAATATTTTTTAAAGGAGAGATATGGAAATAAAATAGTAATCCAGAGAAGGCTAGAGAAAAAAAAACGAATAAGATAAACAAAAAAAGATGGAACAAACGGAAAGCAAATGGCAAAATCATGTATTTAAACCCAGCCATAGCAATAACATCACCATGCACGTGATCTAACCGCCCCAGTTAAACAGCAGAGGTTTTCAGAAGGAATCACAACTACAGGAGCCACCAAATGCTTCCTAGAAGAAACACCATTTAAACATATAGACACGAATTGGTTAAAAGAAAGGAAAAAATATCCCATACAGCCACTAATCAAGAGAAAACTGCCCTGTCTGTGTCAGACAACATAGATTTCATAGTAATGAATATTGACAAGCATGAAGAAAATCATTTCACAATGACAAACAGGCCAATTAATCAATAGGAAAAACAACCCTAAATCTCCACGTACCTAATAAGAGAGGTTAAACCCAGGACGCAGACGGACGCGGTGACGTCACGCTCTCCGGGCGTTGACCTCGCGCCAGGCGAGGGACCGGCCGTGCCGGCTGATGGCGGCTCTTCCCGCTCTGCCCGCGGCGCCTCTCTCCTCCGCCCGCGGCTGCTGGGAGGGGCGGGGTGCGGGGTGTCCGGTGACCTCGCTGCGCCCCAGCCCTCGGCCTCCTGGCGTCCTGGGTCGGGGTCCCCGTGACTCAGCGGGCAGCCCTCGCCCGCCTTTGCGGTCGTTGCCCCGCGAGACCCTCCCCGCGGCAGGGTGGGGGGACCGTTCCCCCCACCTCTGGTGTCAAGAGCTAAAACAATAATAATAACATTAAAATAAATAAAATATCCAAAGCGAAAACTAAAATATTTCAATGTAAACACAAATCCACATTTATAGATATAGATTTCTATATCTCCCCCTCAATAATTGATACAAGAAAACAAAAAGTCATTAAAGATATAGAAGAGGTGCACAACATTACTAACCAACTATCAAGTAGTATCTCTTAATTCTTTGCTATCGGTTAAAAATAATATGAAATAAAACGGTGGAGGTGAACATCAAGAAGAGCACGCACTGTTCAGCCAGGCTGGGACAGCCCTGAGCCTGTCTGTCCAGAGCGTAGCCCCCCCCCCCCAACACACTTCCTCTGCACTTTCAGCACCTGGCATGCCTTGGAGACTCAGTTACCTTGATTCTTTGCAAAAGAAAACCGAAAGCCATAGCTCAAAAGTGAATTTTTAAAAACTTTCTGATTTTAATACTCACCCAGTTTATCAACTGGGCCTGAATATATTTCACAATTGCCAGAGTGACCAGCAGACTGACGGGGATGGGGTTGCCATACAAGATGATGAGCACCAACACGTCACACCAAGGCTGCGGGACTGGAATCTGTGCAAGAAAATCAGATGAGCCACATCACTGCTTCAGACACTGGGTTTGTTCATCTTTGTTATTCTATTATAAAAATTAAGAATTTTCTCGATGAAAATTGCTATTAAAGAGAGAATACAGTCTAGCTGCAGTGGTTTATGCCTGTAATATCAGCACTTTGAGAGGCCAAAAACGCAGGATCACTTCTGGCCAGGAGTTCAGGACCATCCTGGGCAACAAAGCAAGACCCAATCTCTACAAAAAATAAAAACTTAAAGTTAGGCAGTCTTGGTGGTGCACGCCTATAGTCCCAGCTACTCAGGAGGCTGAGAAGGAAGGATCCCTGGAGCCCAGGAGATTGAGGCTGCGTGAGCTAAAATCATGCCACTGCACTCGAGGCTGGGCATTAGAGACTGTCTCTAATAAAGAAAATGATTAAAATTTTTAAAAGTCAGCACAAATATGAAATATTTTAAAAATACATTCATTAGTTAAACACCAAACATATAATAAGGAATATGGGAAAATTTCAAATTAGAGATTTAAAAAAAATTTGTTAGAGGCATGGTCTGTTGCCCAGGCTGGTGTATAGTGAAGTGATCATAAACTCACTGCAGCCTTGAACTTTCTGGCTCAAGCAATCCTCCTGCCTCAGCCTTCCAAGTACCTGGGACTACAAGTGCTCGCCACTGGACCCAGCTAATTTTAAACTTTCTGTAGTGATAAGGTCTGGCTCTGTTGCCTAGTCTATTCTTGAACTCCTCCCACCTCAGCCTTCCAAAGTGCTGGGATTGCAGGCCTGAGCTACCGCACCCAGGCAAGATTCAAGACTGAAGGAGACACAGCTCTTGCCCTCAGGGCACTTAGGGTTCAGCTTTATGTGTATAAATCTTCTTTTAAGAAAAGTAGACACAAATATTACTATGACCCTTCTGTGGACAGAGAAAACTGAGACAAAATTTTAGTGCTTTGCCAAATTTATTAATAACTGAAAGTGCAGGTATAACTTGAATCACCAACGTGCTTTTCTTCCTTTGGACTAGAATATCCTGGGCAGACTAGGTGCACTCAGAGCCAATTGCCGGGTTCTTACTCCAAATCAGCAACACACTTCCTCTGCACTTTCAGCAAACCTACACAATCTCAGTTCCACTTTCATAAAACAAGTGTTTGTCCTAGAAACCTGCAGAGTTCTGTTTCAACCCTAAACTATTTCTTTTGGTCAATCAATTGATCATTGATTTCCTATAATGGAAAGGCATTATCCTCAAAATTCACAACCTCCTAGTGTGTGTCGGGTTGTGGGGGCGTGAAAGAAACAATAATTATGAAACATGGACATGGAATGATCTCTTTTAAGAATATTATTATACAGTTCCGGCAGAGAGCACAGTGAGACACGCAGCGGCCAGTTCCTGCGGGGCCCACTGGGCCCTCTGTGCCTTCCAGGCCCTCCTGCTCCGGGTGAGCTGGGACCCCCTCAACCCCCTGGATGGGCCGCGGCCTCTGCCCTGCAGGAACCCGGAGCCCTCGCTGTGGCTGCCCTCCCCAGAGGCCCAGGCCTAGAAGCAGCGGTGAACGTCTCTGGCAAACCCACCTCAGTGACCTGAAGATGGCGGCGCCTCTCTGAGGCCAGACTCTGCCGGCCGCCTGGTCTTTTGGCCCAGCCCTGCCCGGCCTAGGCTAAGCCCCTTCCAAGCTTCCAGAACGCGGCGCCTTCGGGAGGCGGCGGGTGTGGCGGGCAGAGAAGTATGGCGACCGCCCAAACGCTGCGGAGGGCCGTTAGGGCTTGGAGAGCCCCAGAAGGCCGGTCTGTGGGCGCAAGCTCGCTCACCTTCTTGGGCCGTGGAGCGGCGCACATCCGGGTCTTGCTGTGCCCGCTCGGTACCAAAGGGCGCGCCCTGCTTAGTCCTGACATGGAGGGACAAAGGCCTTAACGGGCCTGGAAGGTGAGTGGAGCTGGGGATGACGACGGGGGAGCGGTTAGCGGGCCTTTGGGCGGGTGGTCTTCCTTCTGCCACCAGACAGAAGAAAAAAAAACATAACCACATTTGGAAATGCCCACCACCCTTTGGGAAGATTTACTGGCCGATTATAGAAGAAGGCCTGTGTATATAATATGAAAAAGCTGCTCCCAACTTTCCCCCCAACCTTTAAAAAGAAAACGTTTACTACATCTAATCCTTCTAGATGTAAAGAGGTTGCCAACATATGATAAAGTAGAGTTAGAAAATAACACATCTTGTAAATGCCCATTTGTTTAAAAAAAAATCATAGGAAAAAAATGTCTTCTGGAAATGACTTTTTGAAATGAAATTGTTAGACCACCTCTGGAAGCGACACTTGTTCACGTTTGTTCAGTGGCTTCAAGGACATGGAGCGGAAAACCTTGAGAAGGAAGAGAAGATTCTGTGCCAGACTGGTCATATTTAGAAGAAATATCATATCATAAGCATTGTTTTGTGTTTGCATTTTATTCCTCATTACTGTATATATAGTTCACAAAACTAAGTACTTTTTTGAAATATCTAGTCTGTCTAGATGTTCTGAAGTGCCTGATATATGTTAAAAGTAGAAGTAGTAATACCCTTTGTGAATATCTTTTTGTTAAAATTCATATGAAACTTTTGGGGGTAATGGCTATACCACCTCTTGAGTAGTACACATTGTGTTTGTGCAGGGGTTCAGGGGAGGAGGGAGGACAAGGAAGAGCTCTATGCCAGTGCGCTTATAGTGAGGCAAGATTAACCATAGTTCCTATGTCTGTGCATTGTGTCTTACCTGTGTATATAGTGTATATAAAGGACAAACAAGTCCTAATTTACATCTAGTCTTTCTAGATGTTAAAAGAGGTTGCCAGTGTATGACAAAAGTAGAATTGGTAAACTAATATAGTTTGTACATTTTTTTTGTTTTTAAATTCGTAGGAAAGACTGTCTTCTGAAAAATCTGAGCATTACGATCTCACTGGGTTGGTGGAGGAGGGAAGGGTTCTAGGACAGAATGTTCATATTTTGAAGACACTTTCAAATTATAACTGTTACATGTGGGCAGTTTATTCACAACTGCTGTGTATATAGTGGACAAATAAAATCCTTACCCGAAACATCTAGTCTATCTAGATGTTTAGAAGTGCCCAACGTATGTTAAATGTAGAGGTAGTAAAATATCACTTTGTAAATATCTTTTTGCTAAAGTTTACAGGAAATACTGTCATTTGGAAATAGAATAGTTAAACCATCTCTGTGAGCAGTATAGTACCATCTATACTGGTTCAATGGTTTGGAGGAGGTGGGAGGAAAGGAATTGGCAAAAGGACATTATCAGATATCAGTTTTCTTATGTTTTCTGCATTTTGTTTTGCTGTGTGTATATATGGATATATATAATATATATAATGGATAAATGAGTCCTAATTTTGCAATATCTAGTCTCTAGATGTTAAAGAGATTGCCAGTGTATGATAAAGTAGTTAGTAAAATTAGCACATTTTGTACACTTTGTGTTGAAGTTCATAGGAAAGCTTGTCCTCTGTAAATTACTTTTGGATATGAATTTGTTTGACTTTGTCTCTTGTTCCTTTCAATTTTTTTGTTTTTTTGAGACAGCGTCTTGCTCTGTTGCCCGAGCTAGAGTGCTGTGGCATTAGCCTAGCTCACAGCAACCTCAAACTCCTGGGCGCAAGTGATCTTTCTGCCTCAGCCTTCCAAGTAGCAGGGACTATAGGCATGCGCCACCATGCATGGCTAATTTTCTCTATCTATTTTTAGTTGGCCAATTAATTTCTTTCTATTTTTAATAGAGACAGGGTCTCGCTCTTGCTCAAACTGGTTTCAAACTCCTGACCTTCAGCGATCCACCCACCTGAGCCTCCCAGAGTGCTAGGATTCCAGGCGTGAGCCACCACGCCCAGCCTGTTCCTTTCAATTTTGAAGGAGCTTCTACCAGGTTCAGATAAGGTATCTGACCATAATTTGGGGAAAAGCCTTCTCTATTGAGCTTCTTGTAGGATTTAACTCTAGGCACACATATATTTACTTGCAAGGCTACTGTGCCAGGCAAATGCTATTTGAAAGAAAAAAGCTATTCTTTGACCAATTCTCAAAGAATCACTAATTCATATCAGAAAACTGGGGAGGGCAGAGGTTCAGGAACGTGTTGCTAAGGAGCATGATGTGACTGAGTAGTTAGCTCCACAGTATCTGATTTGTCCCAGAGATCACTGGGCAGTCACAAATGCTGGGGCTGGGGAAACCTCTTCCCTGCAGTTGTGTAGCTCTTCAGCTAGGCAGAGCTTCATGCTAAACCTGCATCGTGAGGTCAAGGACAGAGCCCCCAAATTACACGTGTGTGACTCCCAGCGTCAGGAAGTAAATATATATTAAATGAAAAATGACTGAGGATGCATATCAGAGGGGAGGAAATGACACGTCTTGGCAGATTTTCTCCTCAAGGCAGGCTACCTGCTCCTGAGAACTGAAGGGAGACGTGGCCAGGCTGGAGGGCTGTCTGTCCCCTCCAAGAGATCAAGTCACAGTGTTGGCCCACGGGTGCCAAGTGACAGGCTGCACAGTTTAAGACAGACATGAGCAACTAGGAGACAGCTCAGAGGACAGCTGTCAGCTGATAAAGACTTTAGAAAAGAAGGTGGAGGAAAAGGGCAGGGGGATGTCACGATTGTTTAAACCTGACAAGAAGAGCCTAAATTACATGTGACATATTAGTTGCTATCTGGACATTTGCAGGAGTGATTACACAGATCAAAACTTCTCAAGCTGTGTGTGTGTGTGTGTGTGTGTGTGTGTGTGTGTTTGCACTCACGCAAAGGCATTGTCAGGAAAAGGTCACACTCGCATGGCCCAGGGGATAATCAGGTGAGGCTGCTCAAGACTAGGTTCTGCCCTAAGGCTGTGACACTCCCAAGTCCTACCCTGCCACCAGGGTCTGAGGGATAAAATAGCTTATCACACTGTCACCTTGGCCTATGTATATAATCACACACCTCTTGTGATTCTATACATTTATTTTGCACTTATTATACTTTTGTGGATGCTGAGTACTGAATTTTTAGTTTTAATTGAGTCAGTCCTCTGACTTAAAACAGTAAGGGCTGACTTTACAACACAATGTTTGCTAGGCAACATTCATAAAACTAAATAAGTGTGAAAGAATGTTAGGTTTTTTATATCGGTTACAAAAGGGCAAACATCCATTCTGTAGCTACTCTGGATGTACAAACATGTGGTCACGAGAATATAAATGTCTGTGTACAACTGGAAATCCCAGGTTGTATATCAGACTTTCGAGGTCCAAGTCAAGGGCTCTGCCAAGTAAAGGGGGACTCAGTGCATATCTAGACTCCAGATGAAATGCACAGAACATGTCACTGAGGCAAACATGTGCTAGGAGGAAAGGGTGGACTTGGAGAATGGGATGGCAGGGGAGGGCAGAGGGACCCTGGGAGCCAGGAGGGCAGGAGGGATCTGCTGGGCTGGCGGGCGGGGCAGGTACTTTGGCCACATCCCCCTCTCCTTGTCACCTAGGACCCCTTTGTGACTCTCCTGTTCTGGGTGATGCAGGCCTGAGGCTATAGGCCAGCCCGGGCCCCCTCAGCACTCAGTTGCTTCAGGCAGCCCGACTATTCTCATGATGGAGAGCACTCTTGATTTTGTAAATGACTCTGAGCCACATGGCTCATCCTTAGGGGAGACAATCCCTATCCTCACCTTCTTGAGGACTCTGATTTTCCTATTCATATGTATTTGCTATGTTTTTATAAAACCCGTTAAACCCATCCGGAAATACACAATCTTCATAAAGGTAAGGGAAACCCCAGAGAGATCCTTTGCTGTTGGCTCCCATTCCTACCCCACATTCTACCACAGTCTGGGTGGCTTGGAGAGTGACAGGATGGCACTCTTCCAGGAAAAGAGGTGGGCAGGGCTCGGGGCTCGGGAGGAGGAAGGTTTCCACCTCAGGCTCACAGGCTCCCTGCCAGGCTGTGGTGGAGGATCCAGCGCAAACCCCCAAACACAGGGACTTCGAGCTGCTGGATTGGCCTGTGCTCACAGTGCGGGTTCTCAGGAGGACAGTCTCCCCTGACATTGGATTGTCACTTTCCATTTCAGATATCACTTGACCAAGCCTTCCAACATGTTGGCTGATCAGGAGACACTGTCCAGAGCGTCCACAATCTGTCCCCAGGATAGAAGGTCCTGAAGGCGCAGAAGTGACAGCTGTCTTCTGCTCTAGTGTGTCCTCCTCGAGCACAGCACTTGGGAGAACACCAAGTGGAGATTTCACAGACAAATCCTCCTTTGAGTTTCTCAAACAAGGAAACACTGAAATTCATTCATCACTTTAAGTATGGGTAAAAGGAACACATTTCTATTCATAATAATGGATAGTAACGTTAACCTTATAGAATGACAGCTTCTTAGAGGACAGGAGGCAGAGAGGCTAGTAGCAGCCCCTTATTATTTTCCTTTTGTTCCCAGCGCCAGGGCAGAGTGAAGAGGAGGAGGAACGGCGCAACCCTGAGAGGTAAGGTTCTGTCTTGTCCCCAGCTCTCCAGGGGAGCCTCCTGCTCCTCCCATGGGGCCCAGGTCCATGATCTCAAGGCTGTCAGGTGCTGGGCACAGTGTCTGGGAAAGCAGAGCTCAGGGGAGGCTCACAGGAAGGCAGTGGGACCTGAGACACTTCTCAGAGTCCCACTCTGCCCACCAGTGGGCATGACGCAGGGATGGGCCTGAGCCATGCGTCTCCCCAGTAGGCGGCCATGGGAGACGTCCAGGAAGGACTCCCGGTGGGTTGGGAGTCAGCACTTCTGTCCCCTGACTCTGCATAAGAGCCCTGACTCCCTGGGTGCTCGGGTTGCTCTGAGGGAACCACTGACTTCTGTGCTTCACCTGGTTCTTTTGAGCTTCACGTGGGATAATGGGTGGGACAGTATTTTGTAGATGAATCCACACACACACGTGACCCTTGTTAATATTACTGTTGACCGGCCGGGCGCGGTGGCTCACGCCTGTAATCCTAGCACTTTGGGAGGCCGAGGCGGGCGGATTGCTCGAGGTCAGGAGTTCGAAACCAGCCTGAGCGAGACCCTGTCTCTACCAAAAATAGAAATAAATTAATTGACCAACTAAAAATATATATACAAAAAATTAGCCGGGCATGGTGGCGCATGCCTGTAGTCCCAGCTACTCGGGAGGCTGAGGCAGTAGGATCGCTGAGCCCCGGAGATTGAGGTTGCTGTGAGCCAGGCTGACGCCACGGCACTCACTCTAGCCTGGGCAACAAAGTGAGACTCTGTCTCAAAAAAAAAAAAAAAAAAATATTACTGTTGAGCATTTGACCTCGTCTGCTGATGTTGGGGCTGCCAGAGCTTAACAGGCCCAGGGTCTCCCATAAAGGGAGCCCCCTGTGATTCTCTGCTTCTACCTTCCTCACATATCACCTTCTCTCCTGGTTCCCAGCTCTGAGAATGATCCCGAGAGAGGCCGAGGAGAGAGGGAGGCTGCTTTCTTCCATGGAAAGGTGATGGATCTTTCCCCTTGTCTCCAGGGCCCTGTTGAAAGCGTGTTCTGTGCATTTCAGGGATTCAGTGCCCCCTCTCAAGGCCATGGTGGGATGGCCTTGGGAACAGGACAGTGAGGGAAGGGCTTGGGGGAGGCTAGCAAGTGGATTGTGGTATCAGGGGAGGGGGCGGCAGGCTTCAGGGGGCCCCACCCCACTAGACATGCAGACTCCCCTTCCCTTGTCAGGGTCCTGGCTGCAGCTTTGTACCTCCTGTCTTCTGCAGCCCCCTGGGACAGCGCGATGTGGATGTCCTCTTCCATCTACATCACCCGGCACACCCACACTCCTTCTGTGAGCTGTGCCGGAAAACAACCCGAAAAGCCAAACCAACCCTGCCCTGGGAATCCCTCCATGCTGCTGCTCCCTCTGCGGCCCCTTTCGCCTCCAGCACCGCCTCACTCTCAGCAAGCCCTCCAGGACTCCTGCCTCCAGCCCCTCCGCCCCACCCTTCCGCACCCCAAACTCTAGCCATTCCCCATCTACCATGTCACACTCCAAGAGCACAGCCTCTTCTCCAACCAAAGGCCACGTTCTCCTGGAAGACCATTCTGTCATTTGGCCCCAGCCTTTCCCGAAACATCGACCCCTTTCCCCTTTCATCCCTGGCCATGCATCCCACTCACACCCGTGCGTGTCACCACGCACCGCCAGCCCCGTCTGCACCACCACCGCCAGACAGCACTTTAGCCGTGACTCCACCTAAACCGGCTCCTGCCCTTCTGGACCTTGCTCTGGAGATGTTCTCTCCTGGTAGCGCTCGTGAACTGACCCCTCTTGTCCCTCCAAAGAGAGGCACTGACCCTCCTAAGCTGACAGTGTCAGCATTCTTCTGGTGGCAGCCTCACGCCCAGGACTTGTTCCCCTCCAAATGGGCACCCTGTGATTTTAAGAAACAGCTTCTCGCCCTCCGCTATTCTGAGGCCTCATTTGCGGGAGACCCTGCAGCCAGCCTCGGAGTGTCTGCTTCCCTCTCTCTGCCCAACTCTGCCCTGCTGGCTCTCTTTGAGAGACTAGTTAGGAAGAGGGGGAATTTCCTGATGTGGAAGGGAGTGGAACAATACGTGGGCTCTATTCTAAACCATCTGAGGCCAGGCAAATATCTCAGTGCTTCAGGGACCATGTTGGCAGCAGCTGCCAGTCAGCAGGGCGTCCCAGGTTCCCTCCCTCGCTGCAGTAGCCAAGGGAAAGCAGCGGAGCTGCACCTGTGCCCGCAGTCCCTGTGCCCTGACACCTGGTAGGATGACCTGCAGCAAAACACCTGGAGCTGCTCTGGCAGCTGCTGTCTCTGCGTGGCGAGTCCCTGCACTCTGTGGTCCTTGTCGGAGGCAGCTGTCTCCCTACATTTGTTTTCCTTACCATAATTGCTAGTTCCTTCAAAGCTGAAGGATTCTTGGCACTGGACCGTCTCCAACTGCTGTGCCTGCCCCAAACCCTGCCCCAGTCTCAATCCCTAACCCTCACCCAGGTCCGGTCTCAGGCCCCATTTCTATCCCCACTCCCCATCCCACCACCTGGGCCTCTATGCCCGATTCGGATCTGTGAGGTGAGTTTGCTTCAGAAGAAAACTGGACTCCACCATCAACCTAGGCTCATACCACCCGGGTGGGGCTCATGCAACACCTGCCACACCCGTGGGTGTCCGTCACTCTTAAGTCCTCACAGAGAAACTCCTGACATGTCAATGTGCCATCGTCCCCTCTCCTATGTTTTGTTCATACGCGGTCATGGGAGAAAAGACCTTCAATATTTGCTCTTCAGCCCACCTAGCTTCCGAGAGACCAGCCCAAAACTCCCACTAAAGAAGGATGCCAGCAAGAATCAGGAACTAAGCAAGAAGAATGGCCCAAAAGATCATCCTGGCACAACAAATTCAAAACACGGAATCTCCAAGTGCCCAGCAAGAAGCGTTAAAGCTTTTCCTGGAGAAAAGGTCAGAGCAACAAAATCAGCTCCCAGCCTGCATCATCCCCTCCCTGCCTCTTCCCCTGCGGGAAAAGGGGCACAGGGAGACCTAAGACCGTCCCCCTCTGACGCCAACCGTGACCTTCCAGAGAAGGTCTGGACAGCTGAGGACGGCAGGCAGACTGGCCTGCAGCCCCCTCAGGACAGCACAGACGAGACGTTAGAGGAGTCCCCTGGGGGCGCATCTTCCCCAGCCACGACAGCGGAGGGACAGCCTCCTGCTCAACCACGCTTGAGAAAGCGAATGCTCCGACTGTGGCAGTGGCTTCGTAAGCCCAGAAGAAAGCCCAAGGGGCAAAAGAATTGTCTGTGGGAGGGCAGCTCCCTGTCGTCTCAGGAGACTTCCTCAACTGCCCTCCTTGGGAGGCCTCAGCACCCTCCCAGCTCCCCCTCCAGGGCTCAGGGAGTCCACGGTCCTCCACCCACCCCTTCCCGTCCTCAGAACACTGGAAGATTTAGACTTTTCCCCTGCATTTGCTGAGGGGGGAAATCACGCCCCAAAAACTTCAACATGGTTCTCTGAATAAATGCTCTGCAAGAGAGATGTCTGTTGCGTGTGCTGTGTTAGGAGAACATGTTTCGAGCACGTGCTACGTAGGCACAGGCAGGAGTTAGTTCAGCACTTACTCATGGCCTATATTAGCTTCCCAAAGGTGCCCAGTCCCCTGGAGGTCTTGTGGAGGAATGGCTACCATGTGGCATCCACCCGTTCCCACAGGATGAAGTTAGAGTAGATGGGCTCTGTGCCTTTTCACGTAGCTTTGCCTGGTGACATTATGCTGCAGCCCACTCCTTCCCCCCCATTGTGGTTCACAGCCTTTAGGGCAGTAAAGACGATGGGTCTTCCATAGCTGAAGACCGGGTAAAACACAGGTACATATTTAAGAACATAGTGGCCGAATCATTTCTAAGAAACAGCTGTCAGTGACCAGAGGATGACACGCGTGGGTGCAGGGTGGGGGCGTCACTGCTGCAGTGGGGGCTGGCCTGGGTGGGGGAGGGCTGAGGAACAGGACAGACGCTGCCCAAGAACCTGTCCCGTGGGGCTGTTCAGGTGTTGGGGAAGCACACGTGGACCCTGATGGTGTGATGTTCTTCCTGCAAGTCCCCGTGGGAAGTGGTCCCTCCCCGGCACATTTCACAGGTTGCCAGGATTGATGACATGTCCAGATAAAAAGGCTCACTCTGCTGTTAGTGGCAGCAATGTCGCCTAGGCAATCCCTGACCTCTCGGGGTAAAATACAGTTGATACCCTCTTTCCCCGAAAATAAAACCTACCCATAAAATAAGTTCTAGCAGAATTTCTAAGCATTTGAGCTATATAACCCCTACCTGGAAAATAAGACCTAGTGATGGGCGTGGCTATGCAGCGTATCTGCACAACCCATGCATTTCGCCCCAGAGCGGGAAAGCAGGGGAGCAGCCCTTCTCATCTCCCCCTTCGAGACAGCTACTATCCCAGAGGTGACCTGAAAGGTGCAGGCAGCCCCACCAACAAGGTCAGCACCCCTGTCAGGTCCCAGAAATCCTGTGTGTGCTGCAAGCTGAGGCTTGGAGGGGAAAAAATAACACTTCACCTGGAAATAAGCCCTAGGGTATCTTCTTAAGGAAAAATAAATATAAGACCCTGTCTTCTTTTCGGGGAAATATGGTATAAGGAAAACATGCCTTACAGTAAGCAGAAAAGTAAGGAGAAAAATATGGAGATGGGAAAGAATGTCCTTGCTGGTGGGGCAAAGGTGTTTCTGCCCTTGTCGTGCCCCTGTCCTGCTCCCCCTTCCCAGTCTGATCCAGGCACCACTTCCGTGAGGCTGATCGGGGCGCTGCACAGCTCACTCATGCCGTTTGGCCGAAGCATACACGGGGCTGTTCTCGGGCACCAAAGCAACATCTGCAAGGCCGGTGTCGGGCTCAGCCACCGCCCCCTTAGGGAAGGTGACCTCAGTGCCCTCCTTCCATCTATGCTTGGTGACCGCTTGCAAGACCTCACCCTTAGTGTGCACAGTTCACCCATCAGGATGGAGGAGCCACATGTGATCTTCACAGGCCTGGGGGAGCCTCGGTAGCTATCCCCCAGAACACCTGCCCCTCATGCTCCACAGGTGTGCCCTGCACTGTGCACAGGGTTACGGATATTTGGGGGCTCCCCATGGACCTTTACAGAATGCTCCTTTTGGCCACCACTGGCCACCCTTCAAATAGAGGTCTGGAGAGAAGGCAACTCCACTGGTACAGACAGGGACTGCACTCAAGAATGTGATGAGTTTCCTGCAGGACACTGGAGATAGCTTTTCTGGGAAAACAATTTGTGAATGCTGGGTGTGAAAACACAAACAAACAACAGATGTGCACTACAGCCCCTGACTCTGCGTCTACATCTCCGAGCTATGCCATTGACCCTCAGCGTCTGAAGCCCAGGGTTGCTGAAGGAATGCAGAGTCTCGGGAGGCCCTGGGAAGGACGAAAGGCGGGATGCGTCCGGGGGGAGGAACTGTGGAGGTGGAGAATCAGTGGAGGACCCGACATCCACGCGGAGAGGTCAGCCACTAACCCGCCTCTCACTTCCTCCTCCTCCCACCTTCGTGTCCTCTACCTGCAATCCAGCTCAGCTACTGCCACTCCTCAGCTATTGTCACGCCCGGCTCACACGTGTGACAGCACAGCTCCACCTCCACCTTCACCTCCTCCCTCTGCTCTCCCAGCGGGGCCCTCAGTTTCTCATTGTTGCACTTACTAAAATATCTGTGCTGGAGAGAGATCAAATACAGACCTGAGGGTCAGGCCCACCGCTGCCAGCTGTCCTTACTGTCCCGCACCTCCTCAGGAGCCACTCCACACCTTTTATTTTTAAAGCTTTGACTACAAACATCTTTACACATACACAAGAGCAGAGAGAACAACGTATCCCCCATTCCACTATTCAGCCTTCACAACTACCAGGCACGATGAACCCATCTTTTACACAGTGATGAAAGTATAAAAGTCCATCAAACATCTTCCAACTATCCCTTCGAAGACCTGCTACGTGTCCTGTGTCAATGCTCCCACGCTCCTTTGGTACTTGCCACACTCACCCACAGCACAGGGACGCAGCCTCGGTGACCGAAACACACTGAGTTACTGGCTTTGGCGTGGGCTCTGCTCCACGTTGTGTCAGCCCTGAGGAGCCGCCTGCTCCCCCTCCCCGCTCCCTGCAAGCAGCGATCTGCACACACACACTCAGCACAACGTTGCCACCCGTGTCTCACAAGGTGAGCATAACGGGAAAGGAATACAGAAGCAGACAACTTTCTATGTTAAGTACTTAAGATTGCCATATAAATGTTTTCAAACATGTAGAGGAATACAATATTTTCTGTCACACATTTAAAATGACTTACTGTGTTTGCAGTTAAATACAATAGACCAAATGAACTCGTCTATTTACTCTCCTTCCCTACACGCTATTAAAACTAAAGGATCGTATGAAAAGCCGCTCAAAATCATTGATCATCAGGGAACTATTACCACAAGTCAAAACCACTATGAATCATCAAATTGATACTGATTGATTGCACTATGGTGCTCAGATGGTGGCGCTGTTCACCAGGGATTCCGGGGTGGGGGTGTAGACCCACATCTGAGGCATGGAGTGAACATTGTGGAGGGGAAGGCATAGCTCTAACCCTTGCTAGGGAGAGGCAAAGATATAAAATACAACCAAAATCTTTGTACTCTCATATTTTCTTGAAATGAAAAAAAAAAAAAATTTATTGAAACACTAATGTGCCATGAACATGGCATTTTTCAAACATTTAATTGAAAAAAAAAAAAAAAGAAACACTAAGAGACAGCAGGACACTACCACCAGAATGGGTAGAAAGAGAAAGTCAGTTAAGTGCTCGAGAGAGTGTGGAGAAGCTGGCAGCCTCACGCACTGCTGGCGGGAATGGAAATGGCTGTTTGGGAAACAGTCTGGCAGTTCCTCACATCATTCAATGGGCTTGACCTATGACCCAGCAATCCCCCTCCTAAGTACACACCCAAGAGAAATGAAAACATGTCCACACAGAAACTCGTACACAATGGTTCATGGCAGCATTCTTCATAACAGCCAAAAGCTAGAAACACCCACATGTCCAGCAACTGACGAATGCGTGAAGAACATGCGCTATGTCCACACAACAGAACACTATTCAGCCATGAGAAGCAATGACCTCTTAACTTCTGCCACACGGGGATGGACCTGAAAACATTACACTAAGCAAGAGAATCCAGAAGCAAAGGACCATAGGTGCATCCTTGTTATGAAATGTTCAGAACAGGGAATCGACAGGCACAGAGAGTGGATTTGTCACTGCTCAGGGCTGGGGGAATCAGGGACGGAAGGAGTATAGGATTTTTTTGTTTAATTTGAAGTAATGAAAATGTTATAAAATTGATGGATAGATTTGGTGATAGATGTGTAACTCTGTGATCGACTAAGAATCACTAAATTACACACTCTAGATGGGTGAATTCTATAGTCTATGAACCATATTTCAATAAAACTGCTAAAAAAAGTAAAGCACTTAAAGAGAGTAAGTGCGCAAGGATGACAAGAACAGGAGTGGATACAGCAGAAGGGGTCAGCACGTTTTTGGAAGATAGAAATCCAGGTAACTGATTTAGCAAAGCAGAGAAAACACCGGCAAACCAGTTCTCACCACAAAACCCCAGGAAAAAAGTGACATGGTGGCACCAAATAAGGATTGGCAGTTATATGCTATAAACATGTTTCTTTGAAATTTTGATCCTTTTTTTTTTACATTCTGTATAATTTTTTTAAAAAATTGGTTGGGGCGCTTTTGCTCTTTTTCAGTATTTTCTAAAATGTTGTTGAAATGCCAGCATGCTGCAAATGTGGAAAGAGGATCCCAGGTTCTTGCCTGGGACAGACCCTGAGACCATGGTTTTAAGCTTGCAGTGCACACTGCCGGGGCTGGGCGTGGTGTGGCAACTGCGAGAATCAAAGCCAAAATCTGAAACATTCTGTAAAACTGAAGACAATATAGTCAGCTGTCCCTCTTTAAAATGTACTTATTTGAAAGTCATTATATTTGCAGAAAAATGGCATGGATGGTAAACATCAGTACACCTTTATCCAGACTCCTCTATTCTTAATATTTTGAACCATTTCTGATCTTTCTCTTTCCCTCCTTCCCTTTTTTTCATTCTCTGCACACAAATACACACACACGGAAAATATACATACATTCCTAAACATCTATAAATACATTTCATACATCTTGCAGCTTCTCCTTGAATATTTCATTGTGTATGTCTCGATAAAAGAATGTTCTCGACAAAGGAAAGATGGCAGACAAGAAACACCGCCAGACAAACTGTCTCTGCAGAAAAGACAGATTCTAGCAGAAATCAGAAAAAAGAAGCAAGAAGATGAGCACACAGCGGACGAGTGCCGGAAGAAGGGGTACCTGAGACCCCAGGAGACTCCACGGGAGGAGGTTGCGGAGGAGAACTGGAAGCTGAGGCCCCAGGAGCAGCCTGGAGACCAGCGGGA